TACTCTAGATTAGACACTTTGACTGTAAAGCTTTAGTTTGAACAACAACAGCAAACCCTAAGCAAAATCATAACTCTTACTACTCTGCACTACAAACCCTTTCAGGGACATACTGGTGTTTGGAACTAGTTCAGCTGTTAACGCCAGAGGTTTTTCCCCTACTGTATGTCTCAATCTGTGCAACGTCTTTGTCTGTTTGAACTGCAGCCCAGAATTATTGAGCCGCTCACATACTCAGACACTGGAAAGTTTGGAGTTCATTCCACAGCACATTGGTGCCTTCACCCTGGAAAAATATGAAAATATAAAAAAATATTTGATAAAGGTATGTGATTCAAATGCTCCCATAGTAAGGCATGGTAAGACATGACATCCAGCTCACTTTGTGGTAGCTTTCCTTAATTCCTTCCATATTTGCACTCCTGTAATCCTTATATTCGTTCGTGTCTGCACATAACTTCTTAATTTTTTGAAGTCCATAACTGAGACTAAAATCATTGAATACGTAATGGGTACTCTCTTGAAGTCAGTTTCTGTTCAGTTACTGTTTTCATTTTTACACATTGGATCCCAGCAAAGCACCTTGAAATAATTGCTAATTATTGCATGTTAATTTTAAGTGTATTGGACAGATGCCTTGTCCAAGTAATAGCACAAATTCTTGTACTGCCTTGACTCCTATGAGCTGTGTTCAACTGATGCATGCATTTTATAATCCAAATGGCAATTTGTTAAATATAGCTAATTTTTGAGGTATTTCGTAATTTTTTTTTCTTAAACTTGTCTGCCATTGACCTTATCTGACTGGCCAGTTAATATCCTTTACCTCAGGCCTGTGATACTCCTCTGCATCCCCTGGGCAAGCTGGTGGAAACACTGGTAGCCGTGTACAGGATGACCTATGTTGGAGTAGGAGCCAATCGCCGGTTGCTGCAGGAGGCTGTGAGAGAGATCAAGTCCTACCTCAAACGCATCTTCCAGCTTGTTAGGTAACAAACCTCTAATTTTCAAGTCAAACTACTGCTGAATTAATTAACAGTGTCTAGTGTTCATACACTCCAAGTTACTTGGGTTTGGAGTTTGCTTCTTTTCCCTTAACTTTTTTGAGGAGTCTTGAATATTTTGTCAGAAATGGAAAAATTAAAACCTTCACATCAGTGTATTACATCCTACCTTGTCCTTCAAAATGTGCCTGTGAGAAGCTCATCTTGACTATGGATTTGCAGTTTAGTGTCTCTGGATATTGATGCTGTGCAAAGACAGTGTTCAAAGGGTATAGAAGACAGTGTATTCCATAAATTTCTTATCAACATGGATCATTCGACATGGATGGATGATCTTCCTGTAAAGGGCTTGCTTGAGAACAATTGTAGCTTTAATTGGGTCTTGCCAGTCTGAAAGCAGAAATACTCTAAATTACCACGAGAAGCCTTGTGATGTCGGTGTAGGAGAGGTAACGTTGTCATTAGGAGAGTTTCTTCCAGGGAGATGGTGCTGTGTGTCTGTCAGCTATGCTGTCCTAGCCCGCCGTATATTATTTCTGCTGACTTTCTTCTCTTCGGTCTTGCCTTCTAATGCTGTGATTTGTGGAAACTTCTTGAAATGAACTCAATAATTATAATGTGTCTTGCCTTTTAGGTTCCTGTTTCCTGATCTGCCGGAAGAGGGCAGCACCATTCCATTTCTGGAACTGGAGACAAAAGGAAGGCGATCGTTTTGCAGTGGGAAATCGGATTCCAGATCAGAATCTCCTGAGCCAGGGTACATAAAGGGAAAAAAAATTAACAAAACAAACAAACAAAAGCTAACAAAGGCTTTATTTTATTTCTGTTCCAGTTTTTTTCTTGAGTGAGGGGAGAAAGATAAACACATGATGGATATAAGCAGTGTTTATTTTCCCTTTGGTTCTGATGACAGATTCTGATATGCAGACTTCCATGCGGTGTTTGTAATAAGCATTTCATCCTTGTTCCATGCAATGGTTCTTTACTTAAACCTAAATTTGTTTTTATCTGTTATGGGTAAACAAGTTTTATTTAGAATAAGAGCACTGGGGATAACTTGTAATCTCTTCTTAGCAGAGATATTATTTAATGGATTTGTACTTATTTTCTTACTCTTATCCCCCATAGAGTAGGCTCATACTACATGAAAGATTTGTTCCAATGATTATCATTCCATTTTTATAGATAATTAGGTTATAAAATGTCTTCCTCTACAAACTACCCCTCTCTTTTTTTTTTTTGTTTTGTTTTGTCATAGCTATGTGGTCACCAGTTTTGGCTTGCTGCTCCCTGTGCTGCTGCCCCGACTCTACCCTCCCCTGTTCATGTTGTACGCCTTGGACAACGAGCGGGAGGAAGACATTTACTGGGAATGTGTTTTACGTTTAAACAAACAAACTGATTTGGCTCTTCTCAGCTTTCTTGGAGTGCAGGCGTGAGTATGCTTCAAAAATGAAACAAACTGGGAAAGGATTACAGCATGTAATTAGATAAAGCAACTAAAACAGACCCCCTATTGTGAAAGTATCTCCTTTGATTAAAATGCATCTAAACTTGTCTTCAAGCTAATTAGTGTGGCGAGAGAGCGAATCAAAACTTCCCTCTTCCAAAAAGGGGAGGTGGGAGGGATGAGAAGGGGGTAAAAGATTGGCATTGCTATTGGTACAAAACCAGAGACATTTCAGATTAGACTGTTTTCTGCTACTTGTGCTAGATGTAGTTGACCCTGTAGGGAGGGCTGTTGTGTCTCAGAGAAGAACATGATGACTTCATTTTCAGGTGAAAAATGCTGTAAGACTGTGCCCTCTCAGTAGACTGTGTTGGGTTTCTTGCAGGAAATTTTGGCCAGGAACTGTATCCATCCTTGGAGAGAGTAGAAAGGTATGTTCATTGGGCCTTGACTTCCAGTACATTTTGCTTATTTCAAGAAGCTGAGATCAAGGAGCGGTCAAATAATTTCTGACCAGGCTTTTTGCTTAAGAGATGCTGTGTTATCTTATTTCCTTAATGTTTGTCTGCTGCTTAAATGCTACATTAGTGACTCAGCAGGGGTATTGGACAGGATGATCTCCAGGTGACCCTTCCAACCCCAACCATTCTGTGATTTCTTACAATAGCCATTGGTCCAGCTTTGTCACTTACTGGTTTACTTGGTAATGAATTCTAATTCAGGAAGACATTGGCTTGATCTCCAATTATGAAAGTGTGAGAATAAAAGTGCAGCAAGGAAATTTTCAAGCTGCTTGTCCCGTTTCCTCACTTCTGTGGATTTCTCTAAGCCTTTTTGCATCTGTTCCCTACCTGTTCCATTCAGAAAGACTTAAGCCAGTTGCATATTAAAGAGCTAACATTTATATTTGTTCTTTTCTGCTGCTCCAAACCTGAGTCTCTGGTTATGGACTGCTATGATTTTTTTCCAGGTTTCAAGCATTCTAGTCTTAGAGTTCCCTCTTGATTGTTAACCATTAAGATCAGTGATTCTCAGTCTTACTTGACCTGGAAGGTATTCAAAACCTGATTCTTGTGACATACCAAGGAATTCGGTACAGCTTTTTCTCTAGTTTTAGTGAAACTCAAACAATGTAGGTAGGCAAATTTCTGCAATGACTGTAGCACCCAGGCACATTCCCCTTTCCTTGCACTGGAAAACTGACAAAAACGTCATTTATGCCAGTGCTGCGTGATAGTCTGCTTTTCTTGTGCTGCTGAATAGGGGGGTTTCCAAACCTGCCTGATACATCTTATGATTACACAGGTATCACCAAATACAAAAGATGCCTGCTTTGCCTCTGCAGTTGAATGTTTACAGCAAATCAGGTAATTCTCTGAAATTTGTCTGTAGTGTTTTACTGGTCCTGCTGTAGTAGTGTCTGGTTTATTTGACTGTGATCATTTACCTGTCACCTTTTTTTGTTCACCTCCATAAAAGAAGTCAGGGAGAAGTTTTCCAGTTCCCACTAAACATGCTAGCAGTTTCTGCTAACGGGGAGGTGTTGCCTCATAAATGTGACTGAAGGGTGTGTCCAGGGGACACCATTTAGAATTGAAGGCATGAGGGTGTCTATCAAATACACATTTGGGAATGTCTGAACAGCTGTGGTGAAATGGCCTGTGCATGGGAAGCTTTCTGTGTCTGTTAGCTGTATCATGTTGTAAGAATTTAAGCAGAAATTAAAAAGACTTTAGAAAGGAATTTTTCCCCTTTTCCCACTTTACTCAAACATCTTAAAACTGTGAAGACAGTCTCACTTGCAGTGGTGTGTCTTGGTGTGGTAATCATAGCCTGGGGTGCTCAACAGCCTTGGCAGCCGTGGCTGTTGTGGTGTGAACGGTCTGACTTCTCTTGGTGGGAGGGCTGTGCTGGCCGGCAAACTGTCCTCCTAATGCACGTGCAGATCTCGAACTTCTTATTGTTACCCTGTTCTGCTTTTGCTCTCCAAATAGTACCACTTTTACCCCAGCTGACAAGTTGAAGGTGATCCAGCAGACTTTTGAAGAGATCTCCCAGAGTGTACTTGAGACCCTTCAGGAAGATTTTCTGTGGTCCATGGATGACTTATTCCCTGTTTTTCTCTATGTGGTGCTACGAGCCAGGTAGGCACTAAGGTTGGCATCAGGCGTAAGCTGAGCATAAGCAGTGGGAGTACTTTTACCTGTGTTAAACACTCCTGCTGCTCGTCAGAGGACTAGTTGCTACCTTCTTGTAACTGGAAATTTTCGAGTCTGACTGTTTGCTTTGGCCTGAAAAAACCTTGAACAGTTTACTGTGAGATGTCTGTGACTGAGGTTAGGGACCAGCGTGGGCTTTTGCACAACACCACGTGCAAGAAGTGGAAAAATCATAATGCTGTCTTTTGTTTACCTGTTCACTTTCCCACTCTCACATATGACAGGATAAGGAATTTGGGGTCTGAGGTGCACTTAATTGAAGACCTGATGGATCCCTATCTGCAGCATGGGGAGCAAGGCATCATGTTCACTACCTTGAAGGTATGACAGAGTTATCAAAGGCTTTCTTTGGAAATAACCAGCTTTTAGCAATGAGGATCAGCTTAGGACAATTATATGAACATTAGGTTGTAACTTCTTAGACTGTTTAACTGAAATTTTTAGCTAGGATGAGCAAGGAAACTTAATGTAGAGCTCTGGATAAACTAACAATTGCAAGTACTGCTAATAAAATGGGGCAGTGTGCAAATGTACATTATTCAAATGTCATGTTGGTTGCTGTCGACTGTTCTAAATGCTCACCTGGAGCTTGTCATTCCCCTGCAACTTAACAAGCCTTATTTCCTTTATAAAAATTTTAATGAGGTTCTTCTTTGGAGATTAGCCTTCCAGTAAAGTTTAAGCCTAACATTACATCAAGACTTTACAGGAATTCAATTGGGGAAAAAAAATTTAAAAACTTAGTATCACTCTCCACATTTTAGTAAGTACTCTTATCTTTTTAAGTATGGGAAAAGGAAGAGAATCTGTTTGGAAGAATATCCTATTGTCCACCAAGACCTTCATAGTGGAAATATGTTGTTTTGGTACCTCAAAACTGTTCAAACAAGTGCTTTTCAGTCTGAGTGCTTTTGAAATGCTTCACCCCTGCATCCCTGTCCTGTAAGAAAATATTTTCATTTTTCGAGTCCTTCTGTCAAAGGGCAGAGAAGGACTTACGAGCAAAAATGTACTTCATCTTGGCAAAGCTGGGAACTGTGAAAGTATTTAAAGCCTCAATTAGTGCTATCTTGCTTGATTAGGAGTTGGATGTCATTTGTAACTTAGTCTCCTGTTCTTGTTGCTAGCTTAGGCATCAGAAGATTCACAGGTGTTGAGTGTCACTGTAGCATCACTGCTTGTAGAGGGCCTAGACTTCTGTTGTGTTGGATAGACAAAACATCAACCTTTTCACATGTGCTGCTTTATCAGGTTGCTGTGAACTGGTATGTACACTAATCTGAACTTTGTTTTAATTCAGGCATGTTACTACCAGATTCAACATGAAAAGCTTACCTAGACCATCATTTACCAGCTGGCTCTGGGGGATAATCTACTCAGTGGAACTTCACTGATAACCACTTCTTCCCTGAAATGGCCCTTAGAAAACACTTGGTTACAGCTCTCCTGCTACAGAGGAAAATATTCAGTTGTTTCTTCTGAACTTTCAGTTCTAAGATTCAAAAACTGCAGCCAGAGCCTAACTATGAAGTGGTGATGAAGTTAGAGACTTGGTTTGTCAAGTAGCTGCCAAGAAGAAATACTTTCTTATTCTAACAGCAAGATTATTTACTCCTTTTAAATGAGCCATGATGCAAAAAGGCATGGCACCTTCATAGAACACCTGTGAAAGTCTGGACTGCATGGCTTCCAAAGCAGGGGGTTTGTTTTTATTATTCCTGGTTTGTCAACAGAGACGTTTAAAGAGAATTAATTGCACCACAGAAGGCATTTGGTCTTCCTGATTTAAGCTGTTATGTTTGTTTATTTAATAAAATAGAAATATGTTAGTATTTATAATGGGTAACCTGTACTGTGTTTGGCTGTAAAGGTTTTGAGGCATCTGTGTTGAGCAGCATTGCTGAATGCAGTATTCGTGTGCTGTTGTGGAAATAATCACACTGTTATGGACTTCCCTGTTCACTAGAATTGTAAATATAGAGGTGATCACCTTTCTGTTTATGAAATAAATAAAAGGCACTGACCATTTCAGATTTTGGCCCTGAGTGAAATGCTCTGCAGTGTTCAGTTTGATTACCCTGAGGCCAGAGGACAAAAGCTTTCTCTGGAAGCCCACGTGACAGGAGGTGAGAAGGCTGCTCTTGAACAGCTGTGGTGGGTTGGCCTTGGCTGGACACCAAGTGCCCACCAAGCTTTTCTGTCGTTCCCTTCCTCAGCAGCGAGCAATGCCTGGCCGCTTCCCGGGAAGCAGGGCTTCAGCATGCGGAGCAGCTGCTCCAGAGGCAAACTCCTGGCACTGATTTCAAGGCCTTTCCACTGTGGGAAAGCTCCTGAGCAGTTCACTCCTGGGCTGGGTCGAGCTGGCTGTGACAGCGGGTTTGGAACTGCCACTGTCCCCCCTGGTCCCGCCTGCCCCGAGGCACAGCTGCCCCGAGGCACAGCTTCAAGGCTCCGGTGCTTCCCGTTCGGATGGGGGCTCTGGAGTGTCTGTGTCAGCACTAATTATGTGGTCTTGCTGCTTTAGGAAAGCTCCCTGTGGTCCCTCAGCACAATCCATGGCTCCTGAGCACTGCTGGAGCAGCTCAGCCTGGAGACTGTAGAGAACAAGTAATTTCCCTGGGGAATTCCTGTGGATGTGTGTGTTCTTCTGTGGTTTGTGGTTAACTTCATGTGTACCAATGCCACTAGTGGATAACTAGAGTATTTTAGGTGCTGTTCTTTACAGGACTGACTCAAAAAAAAAAAAAAAAAAAAGAGAGGAAAAAATAGATTACAGAATGGCTGAGGTTATGTCAGACTGCCATAGATAATGCTGCTCCTGCTCTGAGGTACTAATCACAGCTGGTGTATTGGCACCCACATGGAAAGAAATCATATGCCAAAATAGTGTTTTGAGCAGTGATTGTAATGTAGCAATTCTCATAATAAAATAAAACTGATTGGTCTTCTTGAAATTATTTTGAGTATTATTAGAGGAGGAGAAAGGAAATCCGGAATGCTGACGTTTAAAACTGTGGTTAAACTTGCAACAGACTGTAGTGATAAGGGAATATAGAGAGAGTAGACTTCATGTTTGCCAAGAATTTGGTGTTAGCTTAATCTTTTGAATTATACTGAATAATTCAAGGAGAGTTAAGCAATAATATAAAGAAAAGGGAAGCTTTAGAAAGTTAACTTGAAAAGGGGGGAAGACACATAACTAGGGGTGTAGAGGAGAATGAAGTATAGGGCAGGAATTTGAACACTTCATGTTTTGTGCTCGATGCAGCCTTTCCATGCAATCAGAACTCAATGTAAAAAATATATTAACTGAAACCTATAGGAACAGAACTGCTCTTTGAAAAGGAGCTACGCTGAACAGCTGAGTAAATCAACGGCAATAATTTTCATCTGAAAAAGATCTGACAAGGGGACATGGGCTCAAGCTCTGCCAGGGGAAGTTTAGGTTAGATGTTAGGAAGAAATTCTTTACAGAGAGGGTGATCAGGCATTGGAACGGCCTGCCCAGAGAGGTGGTGGATTCACCATCCCTGGAAGTTTTTAAAAAGAGATTGGACATGGCCCTTAGTGCCATGATATAGTAATTAGAGTTGGATCAGGGGTTGGACTTGATGATCTTGGAGGTCTTTTCCAACCCAATCTATTCTATGATTCTATGATTCTATGAATTCAGGATTTATTTTGCCTTTTGTAGGAGTGTTATCATGAAAAACAGATTTGGATTGTTTTTTTCCCCCCATAACTGTTTTTTATTAGTGTTTGTTGTCTTTGGATGTTTCAGAAGAAAGGATTTTAATATTCAGCTTTGACATGTGAAAAACTTCATTTCATATGACCTTACTCCTACATGGATTCTGTGCCTTAAACTGTAAGTAGAGATGGGAAGTTTTTCCATAATCTTTCTGCCTTTCAGGAACAAGGTATATCTACAAATATGTAGCACCTTTAAATGTGTAACTTCATTTACTGTGAATGATGCAAAGTTGAGAACTAAAAAACCCAAAGAATACATCTGCCTTTACAGACATATCTATCTATCTGTATATCTGCCTTTACGTGTGTATCCATATATACATGTGTGTATACCTGTACAAGCTATGTTATATACACACAACCTCTTAGAAAAAGTAGTGGTATCACGTATGAATTCAGCTTGCTGATTAAGGGGAGCAGACAGTCTGGGCTGGATTATTTTTGGTCTTTCTGATGTATAGCTCAGTTATTAGCTGAAGAGAATCCTCGGATTAAATGTGCTTCTGACACAGATTCCACTTTACAGCCCATGTGGGCTGTGATGCGTTAGGAAATCAGCACAGACCAGCTTTGATTTGTGTATTGCTGTAGCTAACAAAGAAATGAGTTAACCTGTAGGACCTTTCCAGCTGGATTGCTTCATGGTAATTACTTTTTTCTCTCTTCCTTTTTTTTTTCCTTAAATTGAAAGTTGGATATTTCTTGTGCTGCAGCAGAAATCCCAGCAACAGAAGATCAGTGCTGTGGTATTACAGATTCTCCCAGCAATCACAGGCACGGTAGCTGAAGACAGACCCCAAGAGATGAGTGCCCTACTGCCTGGGACAAGTTGCTGACAATAAGAAACTGCTGAAGTGAGAGACAATGTAAAGTAGGGGTTTTATGCAAGAAAAGGGTTAAGGGGATTTGTTCTCTTCTCCCTGGTAATGAGTAGTTCTAAGGTTAGGTTTCTGCGGATTAGAAAGGATAGGATGTCCATAGATTAGCCAGGGCAGTGAGGTTACTTGCTCTATGAACATCCAGCAAATACTCTTTCCTTCTGGAAATTCTGCACGAGCTGAACATGGCGTGTTCTGTGGTGCCTGCAGGTAAGCAAATATGCACTGAACCCACTCTACTGCAAGGATGCATTTCCCCCACGCAGCTGTGAAATTAATTAGCTTTTCTCATAGCTATGAGAAAAAACTAAACTTGTGATATCTGTTTAATTCCCATTAGCTAAATAGTAGAGGAATGTATGAAAGGGGAGTAGGAGCTTGAAAGAGAATTTTTTCCTCCCTCCTAATCTTCACGAAGTGTTCTGACTGGAATGCCAGGTGTTACACATTACTGATACATTTTGCCAAAAGAAGGTTCACTTCTTAACTGTACTTGTTTTTAGAAGCAGGTTAGGAAACTACCTGTTCTGGTAGGTTGGGAGATAATGTAGATGAAAGATACGTGACGGATACGGGACTGTAAGACAAATCCTTTCTTTGAACTACCTAGGTATGTACTTCTAAGCTGATTTAGTGTCAGTGTGGTGGTTGTTTTTAGGGGGGTTTTGGTTCCTCTTCAGTGAGCCCAGGCTGTTGGCAGTGAGCAGCTGGAAGCAGAGCTGGCTGCCCCTCATGGCAGTGTGCGCTGCCCCCAGCTGTTCTCTGGGTGCTGCCTTTAGGAAGTGCTGTTTTAGTGGCGTTACCCGCTGCAAACAAGGGGCTCTCACCACCACTGCAGCTGCCAGGTTTGGTTCAGGGAGAGGCACCAGGAATCACTACTGAGTGGATCTGATTACAAAGAGTAATAGCATAAATTGTTCCATCAGGAGCCTTATGTATGCAGGCGTGATTCTGGGAGATCTCACAGGATGCCTTACACGAACATAACATTTTTAGTCTTCTCTTCCTAACTCTACCACCTCCTACTTGTGTTAAGTGGTTCTGGGGTCAAGATGAGGATATGCAGTTTCAAAGTACAGGTCTATATCTTTGCTTAAAATTTGTCAACTTATTCCACTAGTATTTAGGGTTACTGTTGTAGCTAAAATACTTTCAAGTCTCAAAAAGTATACACAAAGCAAGATGGTTCTTTACACTGACTAGAAAAGGAAGCTGACAGACTTCAGTGGTGAGACTGGCCTAATTACATTTATTTAATGCAGAACAAAAGTCCTGAACAAGCCATGTCATTTGAGGTGCTGAATATCTCTTATCATGTTTTGCCTACTCAGTTTGCTGAATTACAGTGGCTTATTTGGAAAAAAAGGTTTCTCAGGGTGTTCCTTGCCCTCAAGCTAATTTGCAGCCTTCAATATGCCAAATCATTAATTTTGGCAAATTTAAAGGTAGGAGTAATTTTCCTTGTTAAAAGTGCTCAATAACCTTGCCAAGCACATTAACCAAACAAGTTCCCAAGAGTGGGGGGTGGTGTTCTGGATGTCAGGTTCCATGGTGGTGTCTCCTTTAGAGGCTCCACGAGGTGCAAAATAGTCCATTGAAAGACAATTCTGAAAACTGTATTAAAAACAGGGCTTGGGCCCCCTTGCACCTCTAGCCTTGTATCAATAGGAGCTTCTGACCTGTCTGACAAATAGGGTCAAGCAGTTTCATATTCTGCTGCTGAAGGAAGCCCTGTGGCCCAAAATTAGGATCACTGATGTTTGTAGACATGAGGTGACTGACTCATTTAGACTCCAAGTTCTGGTACACTCAGCATGGATATCCAGTTCTGTCCCTAATGACAGGCAAAAAGAAATGTCTTCTATTAATGAGCATCATTAATTGCTTGCAATATGTGTGAATGGGAAGGACCTTCTACTGGCTGGAAGATTAGTCAGGTAAGCCTTTTAGCAAGAATTTCCATCTAATTTATTTAGATCCCTGGATGAGGAGACCCTGAGCTCTGGCCTTATAGTCTGCATAGATAAAAGTCTTGGGAAAGAAAGACACAGCAGTAATTGTAAGTTTGTTCGAACTCTGACCTTTGTCCTTAAGCAAGCAATCCAGGAGGTCTCTTTCTAAGGCACAGAAACCAGATATTATTCTTCTTCTCTTCTGGTAATGACTTTTTCATCATCTGCTGCTACTGACAGCTTCTGAAACCAGGCTTCACAGTTGGAAGCTGCTTCCCTTTTGCTGTGTGAAAATATGAAACTGTTGCTAATGTATGACTGAGGTGAGCTGTGTTGTTAAGAACTTGATAGATTTTGATGTTTAAATGCTGCCTCTGTTAGTGAGAGCATAAACTCTGTAGTTTAAGATGACAGCAATGGATGGAAGGGTTACTACATGTTCATTATTATCCCTGGCAGCTATCCCATAGCTGTACCCAAAGGGTTCACCCAACAAGGCAAGTAATCACCTTTCTGTAGTTTTCCCAGTTTTTCTGGGAAATCTGAGGTCAACTTGCAAGACAAACTGTGTCTAAAACTTCTAAAGACACTCAAGTTTACCAGAAGCTGTAATACTCTATGGAAAAAAATTAATTCCTTGAGTATTTTAAAGAGAAAACAATACTGTTAGTATTTTAGCAGAATCTGAAGTGTTTTAGCATCTCCAGAAATGCTGTTCTTTGTCTCTGATTAAGAAACAGGCTTTCATGACTAGATTTATATGGCCTGCTTTGTTAAATCCATCATTAGGCAGATCAACTAAGCTTAACAAAGGGGAAGGCAAACTCTTAAAGGAAAAGAACTCAGACCACTGAAAAATATTAAATCACTGCAGCTCAAACCTCAGTTGTATTGGGGGAGGATTAAACTGTATTTTTGTGAGTCCTTGGAAGAAGTAATCATGATTTTAAAAGCAGTCTCTGGATTAGAATTTCAATAGATGTATCAGTGTAGAAGTATCTTGAAATGAATTGCCCAGACTCAGCAATAAAATGTTTGACTTCTGATTTTTTTCCTCCCTTAATTCCACTGCTCTTTGAAGGCAGTTTTATGATTTAACAGGAGAGAGAGGAAGCATGTTCTAAAAATAAGTATTGCGTGCAGTAAAAGTGACAGTAATGCCTCCTGCTTTTGTAAGCAGATCAAGATAATACTTTTCCTGCTTGTACCTTTGCTGTTTTCTGTCCACAGAGCAATCTAGGGGAAAATGGCTGCCTTTTTACTCTACTAGTCCAGGAGATGAACTACTGTCTATTTAACAGAGCTTGAGAGAGCGTTCCCTGTGTCACACTGTGGTTCACTGTTGGCTGCAGTGCTCAGATACCTGATGTTACAGCTGGTTTAACTTGTAGTCTGAATCATCTCCTGAGTGGCCACTTGAAATGTTTAGCTCTTTACGAGTAATCTTACAATACTGGTAATCATGGCAATAAATTTGTATCAAGTGTGATTTGAAGTTGGGTCAGCTAGAACGTACTGAAGATTCTGGATGCTCTGGGGTGTAAATGCACCGTATGGTGTTCCCTGGGGAATTTCCAGACTTGTTTCAGAAGAAGAGTTCAGAGAATTTCCCGTAGCAATCCTGGACTGCGTTGTTTGTTATGAACAGCAGATTGCAGAACTTCTTTCCATTTTTAGTCTAAGGGAACATTATAAATTAGTGATAAGTTGTCCCAGAATTTTAAGGGAGGGAAGGAATTTGGACGAAATTTTAGGAGGCTTATATTTTATGTGTGAAAAGGTCATGCGACATGGATACAGATTAATTACTAAGTACTGGCTTCCCTCATCACCTAAAAATGCCGATTTTAAAATTTGAAGAAAAAAAAAAAGGTAGTTACATGCTGCTTTTTATAATGAAAGAAAATAGTGACACTTTCTTTAGATCAGCAAATAACATCTTTGATTCCATCTCTAAAAGTAGCAACTGATTATAAATTGCCTGAGAGAGATGATGATACCGGTAAGGTAAGGAGTGTGATTTTTTATTTGGTTTTGTGTTTTTTGAGTTTTAATTCACTGTGAGAAAAACAAATCCTTCAGAGACCTTAAACTCCAACAGTGATAGAGGCAGAGATCCCTTTTTTCAAAATCATGTCTTTGCTCAATGAAAATTCAGTAGAAACTCCATAATCTTTCAGTTTTAATATTGTGTCAATAACAAGAGGAATTAAATGTAATATGGTTATTTTCTAAGCTATATTGATATAAAACAAGTTTTAAGTATTTGGAAAAAATTGAAACTTTCCATGGTAGTGCACTTAAAAAACTGGAGAACAGAAGATGTACCAAAAAGCTTGCTGCTTTAGATGACTTAATGAAGCAAGCAAACGACAATTCCCTAAAGGAAAGAAAATGCCATATTGCAGTGGAGGTTTGTCCGTCTGCACAGTGAACACTGCTGAACTTACAGGTGGGACTCATGTATTTAATTTATTCTTGCAACCTGTTGTGCACTTTAAATATCAATGATTGCCTCTCCTTGTTTGAAATTCTGCTTTCTTGTCAGTCTAAAATACCTGACAGGATTCTGACGTGTGCTCTTCTCCCTAGTTCAGCATCTCCCTTTGTGAAACCCGCGTGGCGTGAATGCCGTGTTCAGAGAGGGGGGAGTCTCCTTGAATAAAGGAGAAGATGGAGGTGCCAACAGTCTGCAGTAAAGATAATGGTACTCATCACTTTTGCGTCTCTTTACCGGTTTTCTTTCTCTTTGAAAAAGTTGTATTCCTTGGTCTCTGTAACTCTTCTTCCACTGAGTCATGTGAGAAGTGAATGTGACTAAAGCATTACTACTTAACTGGAATGATTCTTGGTGTTTAATGGTTATGCAGTTAACTTAAGAGAACATCAGAAGAGAATATCCGGCATTTGGTTCTGGCTTATAAAGAAAGACGAGGGTTTTTGTTTGTTTACCTCTTCTCAGTAGAAGGTACAAGCTTGAACCCAGGCTGATGCATGTGAGATTCCCTGTGTGTTTTTCACACAGGTCAGTTGTAACTTGCTAGTATTGACCTAACCCTGCTGGTTAATAACACAGTAAAATAATTCTTGTGCAACAGAGTTGATCGCAGGGAAAAAAGCAAAGCAGACAGAAAATGTTGGTGCATTTGGGAAGTATAAATTGAGGAAAGTTGCTTTTTGAAGGCCTGGGTCACTGTTTGGCTTTGGTTGGTCTTCTCTTTGTACTGAAGTGTCTTGCGCTTTTCTGTTTCTTGGGCTCAGGTGTATCTCATGTTCTGACTCTAGTGCTGCAAGAACTCAGCTTGCTCTGTAAGAGAGATGTCAATGGCGTTGGCACGTTGTACGACCTGCTCAGATCCCGCTGGCTGCAAGCGCTTTTAAAGGTAAAGTAATACGGAGCTGTGAAAGCAAAGGTTACCTTTGGACAGGAGAACAAACTCTAGGGAACAGCTACTTTATTTTGCCATACCAGGACAATAAATGCTTATTTACGCTAAGTGCTGATAGTCCCAAAGTCAGTCCGAACATCAGCAGTCAAGGTGGCCAAAACCCTTTTGCTCTAAAGGAAGTGTCTTGGATATTTAAATTCTTCTACCTTACATGTCTATACTAAGGTCAGGGGACAGAGACATAGGCTGAACACAGTGTTGATCAGCTGTCTTTTCTATTCTTAAATCTCTGTATGGCTATGAATCCCACTTTTGGGCTCGTAAAATTATATTCCTTTTATTTTGCATCTCACTGATGCAGTTGAAGATTTTATGTTGACCGATGTTTCTGTCCTGAGCAGAACTGTATCTCTGAAACAAATTCTGTACAAATTCTACTTTTCCTCTAACAAGAATTTTTAAAATCTTTAAAGAAGAAAAACTTGTAGTGGATAAGAATGTCCATAAAGGCACTTTAAATACAGCAGTTTGTTTTAAGTTAAATTTATTTGTTAATTATGCCTGCAGCTAGAGGAAGGAAACACACTACAAATCAGAGAATTGACACTATCAGGCTATTGATCTGTGTATTCAGCTTTTCTTATTGGTGTCGTGGTTTTGCCCACCAGCCCATCTCTGGGGCTGAGGATGGTTTTGTCCAGGTGATTTCCGGACAAAAAACCAATCAAAAAGTTCAGTGACGCCTTTGCTAATTACATCTTTAAGAAAACGGAAGAGAAGGTTGTGGCGCAGTTGAAATTAGGAGCAGCAGCCATGTAGAAGGGTAGTGGGCCCGAGGAGGGCCAAGGCCCCCTCCTCCCCGGCTTGGACCCGGGGGGGGGCAGGTGCAGTACTGAAACCTCCCTTCTCTCTTGTGAGAGAGTGAAGAAAAAAAGTTTAAAAAATGAACTGCTTAGACGAGAAACCGCTGCAGAAGAATTCCAGCCATGAGATAACAAGACTTTCAAGGTCAAAGCTGCAGTCGCAGGAGAGAGAAGAAAAGTTCGAAGGGGGGAAAACTGCTTTTTCTCCTTTTCGCTCTCCCTCCCTTCAGCAGGGTAAAGACTGAAAAATAAAATACCCTGCCACCTGTAGAAGTTTGTTGGGGTGAAGAGACCCCCCATGTGGCTCACAGAGGAGCTTGTGGATGCACCAGAGATTTGTGACTTTAACAGAAAGAGAAAGCCTTATGCTGGAGTAAAAGCGGCTCAGATGAGGCAGAGTCCTGTTAAAGACTTTGTGACCCTCGAAAGGATCGATGCTTATGCTGGAGCGAGACGGCTCAGATAAGCTTGGGATCTCAGTGAGAGATCCATGCTGCTGCTGTTGAAGATTTATGACCCTGACGGGTATTAGAACCTACGCTGGAACACAAAACGGTTCAGGTAGGGATGTTGGGATCCATGTGTGGGATCCGTGCTGCTGGTGCTAGAGAGAACCTACGCTGGAGCAGAAAATGGCTCAGGTGGGATATTGGGATCCGAGTAAGGGATCCAGACTAGACCCATGCCGAGAAGTCAATCAAGGACTGTTCTCCCATGGGGAGGGACCTCCGTAGGGAAACAGGGGTGAACTCTTAAACCATTATCCCCTGTAACCCTGTGGAAGAAGATCCATAGTAAGCAAGTGTCCCCTTGCAAGTCTATGGAAGGAGACCCTTCAGGACCTGGGTAACCCTCAGCCTTCGGTTTTAACCCAGGAGGGGGGTAGGCCCAGCCCTGGAGGCCAACACAGAATAAGTGAGAAATAAAGAAGTTCCAACTGCGACGAAAGTGCTGCAGAGTTACTAGAGAGAGAGAGAGAGAGAGCTGGAATTCTGAGAACAGAAAAGACTGCTTCTCCTCCTTGGACTGATATAAAGGGAAGTGGGGGGAGAAGTATCTTCTGTAAATACATAATACCTTTTACTTAAGTAAAATTATTGTAGATATAATTCTTTAGTTTTAGTTTATTAATAATAAATACTCATACTTTTTTTAATTCAGTCTCTTTTTGTCTGCATAAACCTTCTCTCAACTAATAGTAATTGTATGTGGGAGTATAAAAGTAAATTGAGCCAGGGCAAAACCACGACAATTGGAAAATTCAAAACTCCAGGATAACTGGCTAGCTAACTGATATGGAAAGGCAGTGAATTTTAGACTCAATTCCAGATGCATTAGACATTAAGGATTTAGATTGCAAGCTTTTTGGCTCTAGCTGGACAGAGAAATTTCTAGAAATGCAATGTTGTCCATTGTATGTTGTGCATGTATCTATATAATCATGTAAACGGATCAGTGTTGTCATTGCATTTTGTCTGTCATGGCCTGCAACAGATTTATGAATGCCTCCAGCACTATCTTGGAAAAAGACCAGTTCCTGTCACGCTGCAGGCACGGGCATTGAGTCGCGAGGTGAGACTGTGTATACAGAGTTTATTGCTTTACTTACTCATACCAAACGAATCTACTCAGCTGCAGGTAAACGTTCTGTGTCTCAGGTGATGTCTCACGATATAAAGCTGAAAGATTCTCTCTTTGCACATTTTTAAAATTACTCGACAACCCTTACTGTGTCAAGGTTGGGGAGGCAGCACGAGAAATGGGTACAGCTGTGCTCACTGGACTACACGAGTCCTGGCCAGTGCAAGGAACACACAGTATTTGTTTTAACCACTGACAAGGTATTTTTATTTGCATGTAACTGTGTGGTTCAGTATTAGGGCTACAATCAAGCAGTCTGACATGAGGCCTTTCAAAAGCTTTTTTAGATTTTTCTACTCATAATAGCTGATAGGTTCTTAATCTTTTAATTAGTGGGAGAATTAATGACTAAGTAGAGAAATTGAGACTAGTGATGGAATTGGTTGAGGGATAGCAGCAAAAACTAATTTAGAGCACATGGCACTGTGCCTGACCCAAATTAATCCTGACTGAGTGTTGCGCAGCTGTGGTCATATTGTCCAGTTCCAGACCCAGCCATATGGGCATCCTCTGAGTCATACAATGTGGGGGGCTTAACCCTGTCTCCATATCATACTCCTCTAATTTCAGTTGGAGCTTTCTAAGTGAATTGTCCTCTAGAATCCATCCCCGTGCTTTGTCTCTTACGTTTACCAGGTGGCAGAGTTACTGCGCGAGGCCCCTCCGTGCGGGGAGATCAAAGAGCTGAGACGGCTCCTGCGCGCTCCACACTTCAAGGCAAGTCCTGCCTAAGGAAAGGAAAAGTTGGCTCACAGACCTGTCGGCATTTGGAATGGAAATGGATGGGCAGCTGTTCACAAGAGCTGGCAAAGCAGCCAGAAGAGACGCAGTTAACAAATCACAAGCTAACCTGGTTGTGAAATCAAACGTGGACTGTGTATCTGAAATACCTGCAGTGGGCTGTGTTTTATTGAAGGGCTGTGTTTGAAAGATGTTTCTTACAAAGGTTTCAATTATGGGCAGTTGATACAAATATATATAACCAGATTTTTCTTGAAATTGCAAAGCCTGCATTCTTTACCCTAGAGCTCCAAACAGAAATGTTTCATCTTTTCTTTAGTTTTCCAGAAGAAGCATGGAGAGGAACTTTTCCTAAAACTTTATTTCATGGTTTAATTTTCCAAGTGGAAGGAAGAAAATATCACTGTGTGCAAGGGATCTGTGTTCACTTAGGAACTTATTCACTGATTTTTGTTTTCTGACCAGTCACTGTTTAAAGCTCTGCTGTTGTCTGATCTTTGCTTATGGGTTGGTTGATTTGCTAGGTTTTGTTTGTAACAGGCATTGCTATCTGCTCATGATGCTGTGGCCCAGAAAGATTTTGAACCAACCCTTCCACCACTGCCAGACAACATACCTGAAAATGAAGAAGCTATGAGGATTGTCTGCTTAGTGAAGAACAACCAGCCTCTGGTGAGGGAGCTTTCTGGTATCTGTCAAATTATTTTAACTTAGACAAGCACTGATAACTCATCAGATGCACACTGGTTTCTTTCCAGGAATTTCGGAGGGATTGTGTGCACTCTTGTCCAGTTTTTACAGAATTGTTGATCTTGGAAAGGGCTTTAGGAGCCCATCTTAGTCCTGCACAGTGCAGGTACAACTGGAGATGTCCAGTGCCTTGTCTGCTTGGGGTTTGAACATTTGGCAGGTGCATTTTCATTATATGGGATAAAACCAAACTGAATTTAGAGCTATTCCCTTGGCCAAGATAGAAATGAAGGGAGGAGAGACTCTGAAAGTCCTTTAGAAATCATTTGTGCTCATAAGCAGCAAACACTGTGTAGTTTAGCTAATCTGTTTTAGGAGAAGATAGGTGTAATATTGAGATTGACTGTAAGAAATCTTACCTATCAGTGAGGTTATTTTAGTATGATGGAAGTTGTGGTAAAAAAAGCTGTGTCTTTCAGTGCCTTTTTGTTGTTGTGAACATCAGACTTGTGATATGGAAGGAATCTCGGTGGGGTCCTTCAGTGATGAGCGTGTTTTCTCTTCGTTCCTTTTCGCCAGGGTGCCACCATTAAACGCCATGAGCTGACAGGGGACATCACGGTTGCCCGTGTGATCCATGGTGGCCTGGCAGACAGAAGTGGTACGTGGAATTTGAAATAAAGTGATACATAAAACTGAACTTGAAAAATAAGGTACTTGAAGTAAGATAACAGCTTAGCTTCTACAATTAGTGTTCCACCATAGAGCAGAAGGCACGTGCATTGGACAGCTCTGTAAATAGTGATATGCTGCAGTGATTTGATTGCAGCTTCATTAATTTTCAGATGAGTGTGCTGTTTGAGACTGAGTTGAGATACAAACCCAGTTTTCAATAATTATTCTTGGCACCAATACCTGGATATCCCAAACTGCAATGTAGCATGAATACCAGCACGTTCCCTAATGGACAAATGGAAAACATCAGTCATTTGTGATTCTGTAAGATAATGAGCTTTAAGGAATATGTAGTAATACTTTTTGGCACTAGTCTACTAAACACTTTGGCAGCATTAGGTGCTAAGCAATCTTCCAAGGAGTTTCCTTGGAAATGTTACTACTTTGTCATCCTAGAATTGAATGTGTTCCATGTCCCTTAGGAAATGCAATGTAATTAAAATGTAAGACATCAGAAGTAAAATTCAACTGTAATCATTATAAAATCATTCCTTTTAGTATTTTCTGGACTTTGTATAGAGAAGAAAACCCAGCTTGTTTAAAATAGCTGATTAAGTTCTGAGTTTGCATAATGTTTTAACTGAGTTAAAGGAAAATGGGAAAGAAAACAATGTTGTGAAGATTTTAATGTAAAGGACAGAGAGGAGTCCCAAGACCTCACACTATACATGGAGTTTTTGAGGGTCTGATTCCAAGTGTCACGGTCTATTACTATGACAGGTTGAGCTAGAATAGGTTCAGAGGTTACTTTGGGAAATGGAGCCTTATTAAAATGTTTATGCTACTTTTAAGGCAAATCATCACTAGAATGTAAAGATGTTGTGTGGGGGAGGTGGGAGGAAATAAAACTGAACCACGCACAAGCTTTTTGTGACTCACAGAAGTCTGCAGTCCCCTCCAGGGGCAATGCAGCCTAAATCCAAAATGCCTTCCTGCGTACCTGGTGTATGGAAACTTTTGATGCTGGCTTTCCAAGCTGTGGGAGATCTGTGTGACCCTGCCTTGCCTACCCAGGATAATCCGTGCTGTGCTGGAACTGCTGCTGTTTTCATGTTTGCTCTCACTGTAGGGTTGCTGTACGCTGGAGACAAACTGGTGGAAGTAAATGGAGTTCCTGTTGAGGGACTTGAGCCTGAGCAAGTTATTAATATTCTGGTATTTAATATTTTTAAAATATTTTTTCTACTTTGTACCTTAAGGTTATCTGTACGCTCTCTCTTTTACACACTCTCTTACAGGAGAAAGTTTGAAATCTTTAACAGAAAATTTAGATTGTTTCCTTACATCACTTGTCTAACCAGATCCTGCTGCTAATTTAAACAAGATTTCAGTAGAAAGATTTGGTATGAATTAATGCTGAAATTATATATACTTATAATGAAACATTGAATTAAAAAGATTTAGCAAAACTTTGAGATTTCATTCTTGAGTTTCTTTTGGAAAAAATTTAGTATTGATGCATTGACTCTACCTAAATTCTATCTGTAATACAGACATTATAATAACCTCACAGCCATGTTGTGTTAAGCTTGTGCTACCAGTTTTTAATAATTTATGTTGAATACCTACCATATTTTAATTCTTTTCTCATCACTTAGGCCCTGTCTCAGGGGACAATTATGTTCAAATTAATTCCAGTTTCTGATCGGCCTGTCAGCAACCAAACAACAGTAAGAAACATTCTTCTTCTTTTTCCAGATTGTTACTGCAAACAGTTACTGCAGTAATGCCTAATTGTGTGACACAAAGAAATGATGTTGCCTAGAAGTTTATTGCAGTCCTTAGAGTGTTACCTTGCCTTTATGGCCACCTCTCAGCTGACATCACTGTGTTGTTGCTGAAGCAGTAAAGGCAGTAAATGGAAATGTAGTTGTGTAATGAGGCATTTTCAGGGTGATCTACAGGTTGAGGGTCAATTCTTTTCATAATGTACGAGATGAATTGGTTTTTCCTTCCTTAATGAACAGATAGGGTTTGGGGCTTGATCTGGTTTTTAAAACTTGTCTTCATCTTTAATTAAGTTGCAGCAAAATCTGACCCTGTGATTGTAAAGCTCATGTCGCATCTGTTCTATCCTGTCTTCCACTTACTCTTGTATATTTTGTTTCCCAGCTTTACGTGCGAGCAATGGCAGATTACTGGCCCTTGCAAGATCCTGCCATACCATGTGCTGATGCAGGTTTGCCTTTTAAGAAGGGTGAAATACTCCAGATTGTGGATCAGAATGATGCTCTCTGGTGGCAGGCCAGGAAAGTTTCAGATCTCAGTGCCTGTGCTGGACTCATACCCTCAAATCATCTTCTGAAAAGGTAAAGAATTCACAATTTTCCTGATTTCTAGTTCAAAAATTAGCCAGTTATTCAGACTTTGTCATTTAAAATTTTCCCATGTTTTATAGCAGTATGATTCAGATCTGATAAATATCTTTCCCCTTTCTGTTCTCCAGCTTCTTCCTTTCCTTCCCTTAAGAGCATCTATGTGACAACAAGCTTTTGAAAGCACCTGCATCATCTTAAATTGCCACCTAAGAAGTTGGCAGCACTTGTCTAGTGTCTGTGCTAGTTGCTAAGACATCTAGGGGAGTGTAGCAGCTGAAAGATTTGTGGAAATGGAGAGACTATTAAGGGCCATCACCTATGATTAAAAAAAAAAAAGACAGGGGGAAGAGTAGGATACTAAAAGTATAGTATTTTTTTAAAGATTTCCTGTGAGACAAGAGAGGAAAAAAAACTCCAAAATGCTCAAGGAAGAAAAAGGATCTCTTGCCTGTTATTTTCTGCATAAATAGCCCATTATTTTTACACTACACACTTTCAGAATTGGAGTTCTAAACTGCTGTAGCACCCTTCTCAATTTGATCCTGTAACCACATGTCCTGTGTGTGTCAGCCCCACGATAACATAAGGCTGTGCAATTGTAGATGATAAGCTCCACTTTGTACTCTAATAAACCTACCTGTGGTCTGTGTAGTGAAAGCTGAAATCAAACTGGGTTTGATTTGGGCTGCAAGCAGGAGGCTCTGTAGTAACTGAGGCAGAAGTACTACTACCCCTGCCTGTAGCACAGTCTTCTGCTTCCAGGTGTCTGTGCCACAGTATGGCTTATATTGCTGTCCTTTCATGTGAACTCTAAATACTTCTGTGCTGCTGATTTGGGAGTGGCCTTTCACTAGTTCTGGTAGCATGTTGCTTTCTTTCAGGACTCTGCAGTGGGCTAAAACATTGCTAATGTTTCCATTCTTGTTGTCCTCTCTCAGTTCAGTACTGATTCATCCTATGTGTAACAGTGAATCTGACTAGAGCATAATGTGCTTGTGGTCTGTTTTGTTTCTTTAACTGTGATAAATTTATTTTTATGTAGGAAGCAGCGAGAATTCTGGTGGTCTCAGCCCTTCCAGCCCCATCTCTGTCTCAAATCATCAATGTGTGAGTGAAAAGTTACTTAAATGGTACAGTAGGAAAGAAAGATCTTGTCTTTGTTTCAGGGATACTGAAATAGAAGCTCATACAATTCAGTTTGATCCAAAGATGTTGTTCTGGAGCCATATGGTAACCTCAGAAGTGTGTTAACTATATCCAGAGAAACAAATCCTTAATGGTAGTTGTACCTGGAAACTGGTGGTGGAGGTGGCTGTTTCCAGTGTGCTTGGGATCTCACTATGAGAGAAGCTGTGAACTGAACTTAGTTGAAGTCTGTGAGATGTAGGAGCTCAGCAGGAGAGCCAGTTCTCTCTAGGATAATTGGGTGTAAATAAGTCTTGAGGTGACAATTGTAGCATCGTGGCTTTCTAGTTCTGCACTGAGAAGTGCGAAGCAATGTTCAGAATGTTTCTTTCTCATCAAAGCTATTGAGAGAAAGCTGGAACTTCTTTTCTTGAGGTCTGAGATAAGCTATACTCCCCTTTAGTTTATTCACAGTAACAATCCAGCAGAAATATTATCCTCTGCCAACTATAGCTTTCTGTAAACATGTCATTATTCCCAGAAAAAAAGTGTTCTTCCTGTTTTCTCTCTCCCCATTTTCTTCTATGGTTCTTTATGGAAGTACAAAATTTTTCTCCTGTGATAAATCCCAGAATGTTTCATTCCCTAGGATTCTTCTTGCACTGATTGCTTTGTTTGTTAGAGCTGAGGCTCTCTTTCACCATGATTTTATTGCATTTTAACTGCTTCAATGGATATGCTGTGAGCAGTAAGCACTGTGGAAGAAGGTAGGAAATCAATCTGGACAGCACTGCATTTCTGTACCTGGAACCAGTATAGCACAGGGCTTTAAAGGCTTTTTAAAAACTTGTCAGAAATGAGGCATTTTGATAAATACATCCAAAAGAAACCCAAGTTCTTAGCATGTTGTGTGCTTAACATAATTGAAATTCAGCCTTTCTTCACCTGGAAAGGTAGATGCTTACATTGTCCTAAAGTGGAAACTTTAGCTGTGCATGATCTGTTAGGGAACTGAGAGTTTGGATGGGTTCTTTGGGGAAAGAAAGGCAACATTGCCTCTTTCTCTTTTCCTCTCCCTCTTTCTCTCCTGAGCAGCTCTGGGAGAGCATTTCCTTGAAGGATACTCATGGGCAGGATGGGGTTGACAGATACTGATGATTGCCCTGTAACTGCAAAACAGCTCCCACCAGGCCTGTCTGGAGGGGCACAGGAACAGAGCACACAAACAGTGCAGCACCCTGAGCTCATGTGATCACATTTCAGGGACGTGAATGGATGTGGGCTGGGGATCGAGAGGGAGCTGAATCCATCCTTCCTTTTCTTCCTTGTAAAAGGAATAATAAAATCAACCAAATATTAAGCTACACTCAAGGAAAGCCTTTTGGGAAGATAGACTTCTAAAACTTAAAGGACAAAAAATTCTATTACCTCATGTTAATACTTAATAAATAGATATTTACTGTATAAACAGACTGACAGCCATGTTAAACCTTTCATTATTTCAAGAGGAGAATTCAAATTAGGCATGTTTGCCTCTCTGCCACATGTCCTTCAGAGCACTTGTTTAAGAAGAGCCTTTTGCTCCCTGAAGACAAGGAACATCAGTAAACTGGAGTTAACAGTTAAAATCCTTAAAGATGTCTAAATCTAAGATGATCTGAGCTTCAAGTATTTTCTTTCTGATGTCTCAGTTCAGTCTTGTAAGATCTGTAGGGTTGTTTTTCCTCCCCAGTGTTTTTCTGATTCAGATGAATTTTTTTCCCTTGTGTTGATCCGTAGAGGACGACATGCAGATTGACGAGAAGTGTGTGGAAACAGGTAACTGAATTCACTTGAGATTATTTTATTTGCTTTAAGGAAGTAGCTAGTTAAAAGCCTTGTTTTATTTCCCAGATAAAACCACTTATTCTCCTAGTGAACTTAATAACAGAAAATTCTATTTGTCATACCCTGGAACCCTCACCCAGTATTAGTGCATTAAAATGAGCGATTTGCAGTTCAGGTGTGCAGTACTTATGGTCAAGCATTGTGCTGAAAAGAGGACTGGTGCAAAAATCCCTGCTGGAATGAGATCCAACCTCCTTGATGCCGGTTTTGCACTGCGGTGTTATGTCACCATCGTTTTTTGCCTATTGTATATTTAATGCCACGGATTATTGTAGTCTTGGAGAACACACACAACTCATTGTCAAGAAACTGATCTCAGGAGAATGGGTTTTTAGGCACTGGGCAGGAAGAGGTTTTCAGATGTGAATTTTTTTTAATTTAATGGCCAGTCTTCGCGAGCGAAGATCCGGGGAAGGTCTTTCCACCTTCCAGCCTGCGCATTGGATTTTTTAGGTGAGACACAGTGTGCGCGGAACTGAGCCCACCCTTTAATCCTAAGGTTCATCTGCCGGGGCCAAGCGAGCTTGGACGGTGGCAGCGAGGTCCTTAGGACGTAGGTGGGTTGCCTTTAAGGGCTAACGAGCCCCACCTGCCCGGGAGTGGCCCTGACCGGGAATCGAACCCGGGTCTCCGCGGTGATAGCGCGGCGCCTTTACCCCCTAGACCACCAGGATACTACATGTGAAAACTGTTAGCTGGAGTTTCCCCCTAAAGCAGCACAGCTTATTCTACCTTCTCCCAAGGTAATTCAGAAAGCTCTCCTGGAGGGATCTGATCCTGTAGGACTGGGTGGGAAGAGATGAGGCAATTAATTTGGGTATGGTGAGCTGTGTTTTGTCACCTCAGAGTAGATGGATCTGAGGAAAGTATATATGAGACAGACAGATAGGAGATGGAAAACTGATCTCTGATTCTCAAATTATGTGGAAGGAAAAGAATTAAATTTTGAATTTGTTTTAATACCTTTGCTGTCTGGATTACTAAACAAGATGAAGAAACATTTGAGTCAGGTGAGTTCCTCTGACCTAACTCTTAATCCCTTGCTATGGTTCTGCTGAGAGAAGGGTGGCCAGAGACGTACAAGCGTCTCAAAAACAAGCAGGTGACAAAAACCAAGATGTCATTTTAGCTTCAGAAGGCGTTCTGGCTTGAAAAGCCATTATATGAAATCCTGTTGCCTGAAGTCTTCCTCTTGTTTTCTGATTCCCTTAGCAGTAAGGTTTTTGTCCTGTTGTGCCACAAGCGTGAGTGTCTCTTCCCGTACCTCAGCACCAGGTCTGGTCATCCAGTCCTACTCGGTTATAGCCGTGCAAGCTGTGTGCACTGATGTCAGCGGATAATTGGATTATTTCAGGGTAATATGGAGGCCTGAATCCCCAGTGCCTCTAAGAGCTGACGTGGTAAAGAGGAAAGCTGTTCCGGCTTCCTGATTGAGTGCATGGATGGCACACAGGGAAAGAAAATGCTTATAAAAATAATTATTTATGTCTAAAACATAAAACCAAGCCAATATGGGATTTTTTTTTTTTTAATTTAGGAAACAGCTACCTATTTACAGCACGTTCAGAGTTCTGCAAAATTTACATCTTCTACAATAAATCATTTTTCCACTAAAAGAACTCTGCTGCTAAACTCCTCATTTGAAATATTTGGTAATCTTGTGGAGAAAATGTCATTCGACCTTACGCTTGCTCTTCCCCACAAGGTCCCTACTTGCCAGTTGCGTCTTCTTCTCTTGTCACAGGTGGTTTGTTCTCCTCCACCTCTCAAGCAATGCCCAAAGCTTTTAGGGCAGAACCAGCAGGTCTCCAGGGCAGTCTTTTGTTTCCAGGCTAGGATGTTTCTGATTGCTGCCCTTGGGGATTACTGTAGCAAATCCTGTTCACTGCTCAGTGCTGAGTCACCTCTCTGCTACATCCAGACAGTCAGAGGAATAAAGGTGCAAATATTTGCTATTCTACATTTTAACTGGTAGTTGTAGATGTATTTTGCAGTACAGTACTGACATAGATGCTGCAGTTGAGTCTCTTATACTTTGAGAATTAAGAATTCACGCTGGAAGAGGCATATTTTAGATTTAAAGTCTGCAGTACCTGTTTTCTACATTCCCTAAATGCATTGGACAACACTGGTTGGATTTTTTAAAGAATCATAGTATAGACTGTCTTCTCAAAACTAATTGTTTTATGTCTGTCTCTATCTGAATGTGCAGAGGAGCTTAAAGAAGGTAACATAACTTTTTTCTCCCTGTCTCCTGTAAACAGTAATCTGATAGAATTTATCTGTGTTTATTGCTTTACCAGGAACTACCACTCTTCTTGCAATAGCCAGTAGCTGAGTTGCTTGTTCCCTGTAGGATTCCACACGGCACTCCAATACCATAGAACAGAGTGTAGATAAAGCAGAAATACATAAAAATACTTGAATGCTGGCTCAAGAGACCTGAAGATAGAAATGATATGGGCATACGTCAGCTGAACAGTACTCTGAACATTGCCCTGAAGGAGCAGTTTTATGCCAAGTAATTTTTTTCTACAGTCATAAACAAGTTTTTAGGCCATATAAAAATGGAGGAATAAAACTGTATTGTAGAGGTACAAGTAGTGAAGAGTGCATAGATGGGAAAGATAACTAATATGCATCTAATTTGGTTTCGATACTTGCGTGCCTATGAGAACTGTAAATCAAAGACTCTAATGCTAGAAGCATTTCCCAGTTTGCAAAAGAAAATGTTCCTTTCTTGAAGCACTTACTGCTTTTAAAGACATGCCTATGTCTTCTGTATCTCATTCTTGCTTTAATAAGGCCTAAATAAAGGGAATACACAGTTTGAATAACTACATGCAGGATTAGGGGGAAATTAGGAGTCCTTTTGGAAGAAAAAGCTGAACACTGACATAATTTTTTTCCCCTTGGTTATATGTTTTCAAATCACCTTTCTAAAACAGCTGAGCCTTGTAGAAGAGATTTAATTTTTTAAAAAATGCATGCAGAATTTTAGAAGTCTCACCTGAATAGTAAAGCCTTCATGAGGAACAGCATCAGAATGGGGACAAAAAGCCTCAGAGGAAGCAGATTAGGCTGACATGCTGGAGCACAGATGCAAGTTGCATTTTCCAAACATGCTATTGGGCAGAAAGTTAGTTATAAATTTTTTGTTTCTGATTTTGAGGTACTGACTTGCTGGTTATTGTTTTTACTGAACAATTCTTGTAAGTCATGTTTCACCTGAAAAGCTTAAATTAGGTGAAGGTTTTTTTCACCAATTTCAATTTCAAAACATTGTCTGGCATCTAGTTACCTTAGGAATGAAACATGTAAAATGGTGAGTTTCAAATCTAATTTAGAAATCACCAAGACTTTCTAAGTTTATTTTTTCTCTTACAGAAACATGGGCTCTTTGAATTGGTCATTGCTCATGTGAAATATTTTAATATTTCGTATTATGGAATATTGTGCTTTTTAAAAATTATATTAGGCATGGTATTTCCCTATGTTTACTGAAACTCTTTTTTTCCTTTGGGATCAGCAATAATTGTTAGCCATCTAATTTATAAGCTTTAACTGTTCCTTTTTATTTCATGAGTATTTGTTCTTTGTATTCTAGAAGAGGAAGAATTTGGTGAATTTGGTCAACGAGTCTTTATTGGTATGCAGTGACTAAAGATAAGTAAGATAATTGAGACTTGATCTAGATTAAGTGCTTGTCTGAGATTAAATAAAATGCTTTGTTCTTTATATCACCTAAAGACTTACTAAATGGAATTCTGCTTACTCTGTTTTCCAAACTTCAAGAAGTCTCTTTCCTCCTAATAATGCTAATTCTCTCCACTTAAATCTGCCTTCCTGTTAAATTTCTGCCAAGACTTGACCACTGTTATTTAAATTTGCCTTCATGATTAATTTTGCATAGTGTTTTCTGTCATCCATTGAGAATAACCATGAGGGCTCTCATTAGAAAAGCAGACCTCTATGAGAAGTTTTCACAGTTGGATGGTAAAGTGGGGCCACAAACCTCTCCCTGATACTAAACCTTAATGACCTTTAAAATACACATTCTGGAGGCTGGAGCAAACGTTCCTGATTTGCTTCATGGGAACGAACCAGACACACTATAAAAAAAGTTGGCTTGTTCCCTAGGGATGCTTCATGTAGTCAGAAACTTCTCCTTCAGCTTGCTTTGAGGATTTTTTGGTGGCCTTTAATTCTAGTCTAATTTTCAGGTGACTTTTGCCTACTCTCTAGCTGCCATATAATGCTCAGCTGTTCTCTCAACCTGTCAGACCAAACGCAGCAGTGAATATTCACTGCTACTCACTTTGCAAAAAGCTCACAAGGAGTACTACGTTTGTGGCTTAGGAAGAGACCCCTCAAGCTACAGAACTAGTTGCCTGCATCTGGGGTGTGTTTTCCAGTCCTGATGTCTTTGCCCTCACAGCTGGTTTCCGCAGGAGCCTGCGCCTGTGCCGCAGGAAAGCCCGGGCCAACCAGCAGTCGTGTTACACGCGGTGCCCCAGCAGCTGCTGCAGCTCCTTTGCAGCTCCCTATGAGGAGGTGGTCAGGTACCAGCGGCACCCAACGGACCGCAACAGACTCATCATACTCGTGGGTAAGGGGTTCGGCACCTTCTCAGGCCACGAGGTCACACCTTGTGCCAGAGGGGAGCAGTCCTGGTCTGACCACTGGGGTTTCCTGCAGCTGATTGCAGGAATCATTTCAAGAATCATTATAATTTGACCCCATTATTTGTTTTAAGGTTCAATGCAAGTATCATCTTCTTTGCTTGAGATAATGAGTGTTTAAAAACAATAATCATAAAGTCCTTAGAAGAAGCTGTACAGTTATGATTGCTGGTTGATAAAGGAGTTTAATAGGGAAGTGGTTCTGTTTTATATTCAGTTGGGACTGAAAAAGATGAGAAGCCATTTGTAACTTAGTAGAAAGCATCTTTATGTGGAGGCATTTCTACAACCAATGTTAAGTGCATAGATATGACAACAGTAAGAAGAATGTTTGAAATTTAACTCCAGACTAGAACTATCTCAGTCATGGACTGTATGGAAAGTTACAGATGCCTTTAATAATGTTTGCTATAGGAAGTACTGTATTAAGTGGGCTGCAAGCTCCCAAGTGGACTTTGATGACAGTGGCTGAAGGGAAGCTGCTGTTCCTCAGTGTACCGGGGTGCTCATAAAGCCAACTGGGTAAAGGCAAATCCACTGTCCTTTCTAAGCATGAAATTATAGGATAATTTTTTTTCTTTTAAAATACTATTGCCGAGTTGCTTCCTGGGTACAGCTGTATTGCTGGGAAGTGATTTGTACCCTGTTGGTAATATTAGTTGCTTTTCCAACTCTTCAGGTCCCCCAGGAGTTGGTGTGAATGAACTGAGGCGAAGGCTCATCACAAGTAACCCACGAGAGTTTCAAAGTGCCATACCTCGTATGTCGTGTTTTTCCTCTTTCCTCCACTGTCTCCTTCAAACATAATTGGGAAGTGCCAAGTACCTCCCTCTTGCCTTTGTGCATTCATACACTCTTTGCTTTATGGCTGTTTCTTCAGCTCCATTGGAAGCCAGTATTGTTTGCTTTCGTAAGGATTAGCTTAAAATATGATCTATCTCATTGTGGCAAATCAAACAAAGGTATTTTCAAGTCCCAGCTCCTGAAACCATTGAAAGTTTTATGTAGGTAAAGGTTATCTACATGATTTTGTTTAATCTTGATGTTTACTTTTCCTAGATTTAAAATAAAAATAAAAATGTTTCTTGGGGATACTGTAAGTTCATAGTGTTTAAGTGATCAGATATGAGAATGAAGGCAACAGAAGCTGGTGCTTAATAGGCTTTGCAGCTTTCCTTATTAACCTTCTAGTCTCAGATGAGACTTATGCAGCTTAATTTCTGACGTAACAACTGAAATTGTTTCTACCTGTGCTTAGTTGGTTCTTGTGAATTAGATAACCAAACAGGGAATTATGGAGCTGAAGCTAGTTGAAAAATCAGGACTTCTTTTGTGCTTAAGGTCCTAGATACAGGGAAGGTGCGAGCTGGGAAAGCTTGGAGGATTTTTCTGAATGACCTTTAATTAATTTTACCTCAGAGGCGTAAAATAGTTGTGCTACCAGTTCTAAAGCAGTTGGTTTGAGTCAGCTATTTGGATTAAACTACTCTCCTTCCATTCCAAGAAATACAGTCATGCTTTGATAACTTTCAAGGATTTACCACTGGGAAACCATTAGAGTAGACAGGGCTTTTGCTCTGGATTAACAAATGGAAATAACTCATGTTATTATTTAGGAAAATACTGATTTATAGTCATCTATGAAGTTCTCATTTTCATCTATAAAATTACAATAATTTAGTTGCATCTGATTTTTTTGTGTGTATCTCCTTTCAGACACCACTCGTGTTCAGAAAAGTTATGAAATGAATGGTCGGGAATATCACTACGTATCCAAGGAAACTTTTGAAAACATGGTGTACAGCCACAGGTGAGAAGGAGAGGTGAATTACATTTCTGTTACTTAACATGATCCAAGAAGACACAGTTTTGTATTTAGGTCCCACGTCTGGGCTCCTCCATTCTTACTATGTATATTTCGTGTAAATTTGAGTCAAACTACTTGAGACGGTCGCTTCAAAGACTGTGTTTGTGTTGCAAATGGTTCCCCCACACTTAATCTCAGAATCCTTCTAAAAGAAAGTGGGATCTTTAGTCTTGAGCTCATTAGATGTGTAAGTTATGAGTTAACTCTCCTGGAAACCAGACTGTTTTGAAAATTGAGCAGTGAGTCAAACCTGTTCCTGACCTACAACTCTGTTGCAGGATCTCTGCAGTGATGACATGTAAGCAGCTGAACTGTAAGGGCTAAACATTAAAAAGTTGTCTGCTCCTTTGTATACATCAATAATCTCTCTAAGACAGACCAGCTCAGCACCAGAAGCTACAGTCATTGAGCTGTGCCAAGTGTTTCTAGATCTTGGATTTATGAAGTCATTTGTAGTATGTAGTTGACAAGCATCATTAAAATCACAACCTCTGAACACAAAATTTGTAACAACATGATGAGGACAAAATGCACAATTTGGAGATGTTGAATTTTGGTGGTTTTGATTTTGTGTCCAGCGTAGCAGGGAAGAGCAAAGGTGAAGGTCATTCATCAGTGTTCACTATGTTTTATGACCATTCAGTCCTGATCACTGGACTACATTTGAAGATTTCACCTTTAAATGGAATCTTTTTGAGTCTCAAATGCTCTTTCATTGTCCTTCTCTGTCACCCCTGTTGCAGAATGCTGGAGTATGGGGAATACAAAGGGTACCTGTACGGTACCAGTATTGATGCCGTGCGAACAGTCCTGGAGGAAGGGAAGATCTGTGTCATTGATTTAGAACCACAGGTGAGTGGGAAAGGGGCAGGGAATCTTCTGGAAGGAAAAATAATTTTCCCTACATTCTTGAGCTATTGGAATGGTGTTGCTTTGCTTTGTTTTTCACTTTACCTCATGGTGCCTATTCATAATAGATTATTCTTTGCATGGGTCTTGGGGGGGTGGTTGGTACTACAGTGACAAATATGTCCAGACAACTCATTTGTTTTCAGGCCAGCAAGCTGCATGACCAGTTTGGATGGTATAGAAATGAGTTTTCATGCTTGCTTCAAATAAGGATTATTCTTTCATGTGGAGATTGTTGCATGAGATTTCCTCCTCCTCCAAGCCCTGTTAGTTGAGAATTCTGTCCTTCTGTCACCAATCTCTGAATACCTTCTGGTAAAAGCAGCAACTATTAAAGTAATCAAGCATAAGCAGGGCACTATAGTGTGCCTCTTTTTCTCTTCAGAAGTAACAGCTAAGAGTAAGCTACTCCTTCACTTAGACACTATTCACATTATTTTTTCCCTTCTATCTTTGCACTGAATTTGCTGATGAAGATAAGGGTAATAAAAGCCTGTGCTGGAACATATTTAAGGTACTTAGAGCTGTGTCCAGCAAAATCTTGCCAAGCTTTTCTGAACTACTTGTATATTTAGTACTTGGGAGCTGTTTGGGCTATGGTGTTCCAACATATTTTCTAACCAAATATAAAGAGAGACACCATATCGCAGTAAACTTGGATATTTCCATCTAATTACACAGAGTCAGTGTGTTGGAGCCTTAGGTTAGCAGTGGTTTGTGCTGCTTAAAATAGATGTTAAATTACATGACCTGTGGGGGTACTACTCCAAAACTCAAACTGCTGTAAGAGGCAGATCAGGTCACACCTCAGTCTTCAGATCTAAAAATCTCCTTGGGTTTCTTCTGTTACATTTTTAAGCACAAGGGAGAAAGAGATGTGTTGGATGGTGGGGTGTGTAATCTTGCCACTTGAACAGATGTGCCCCTATCAGTTTTTTAGGGTGTGAGTTTAAAGGACAAGTTTTGGGAGGGATATGAAGAAACAGCAGTGAGTTAGGAGAATAACTGCTGAGTTGCATACTTGATTTTAAATCTGGTGGCTTGACCAGCTTTACATGCTATGGGGTTTTTTTTGTTTGTTTGTTTGTTTTTTCTAGTTCTCTACTGCTCTGCAGGAATTTGAAAATGCTTATTAGCATTAGGGAATGTTACACAGCACAAGGATTACAGAAAGCAGGATACTTTCTTCCAATATAGAACAATAAAGGTGTACTTGTTCTAAAGGTAGCTCCCCAACAGTTAAAAAAGCACAGGTTTCAAATGCATCTTTTATGTAGTTGATTGTAGAGATCTGTTAATGACACTGTTCTGTCATTCACCGATGTTGAAAGCATCTCCTAATAAGGTTACCAAGCAGAGTTAAATGATCCTTGTATGGTACAGCTGGTTAACAATATCTGGTCCAGGGATTATCAGTGACACCATTTTCAAGTAGGTGTTCCTGACAAAGATACCTCCTAGGTCTGGAGATAACAGCATGTTGTAACAACTGGCTTTTTATGGGAGCAAAAGTGGGATGAATCCACTTGAAATACTTAAACTTGCTTTTACTCTTCATTTGCAGGGCATACAATTAGCCCGGACTCATGAGTTAAAGCCCTACATTATATTCATCAAGCCACCCAGCATAAGCTGCATGAGGCAGACCCGTAAAAATGCCAGGATCATTACGGACTACTACGTGAACATGAAGTTCAAGGTGAGATTTGGGAATAAAAGAGAATTGAGTTTATTAATCTGAGATTCTGTGTTTAGAACATAATGCATTCTACTATCTTACAGTGTTAACTCTTAAAAAAAGATTATTGTGTCTTTAGGATCAAATCTAATTATTCTTGTCTCATTTGGTTGGGATCTTTTTCCCTCTCCAGATTTGCTTTGAAGCATAAGAGTTTTAATTTGTATCTAGGGGGCTGAGGCATTTTGCTTCAAAATGTCTTTAAAGGAGAAGCTATTTTGCATATTTTTGTTTTAGTTAACATCAATATTTGAGTCAACACATACATTTACTGTTTGCACTGAAATACCTGGAATGCACTTCATTCATATATAGTTTAATAAACTATTTTTTCACATATTTATAAGAATGTATTATTATTTCACATGTGCTCAGTAGCAGTATCAGTATCAATTCTATACTTAGTTCTATAGATAAAACACAGATCTGGCTTGTAGGAAATGCATACCTTATATTTAGAATGATATGGTGCTTTGTCACAATTGTTTCCATGCAAATCATAGTCAAGTTTAGCATCTTAACGTTTTGAAGACCACAGTCCATAACTATATGGAAATGAATCATAATGGCTATGACAGAAAGAAACATAAACACTGGAGAAATAAAATAAAATCTGGATCAGAACACAAGCGTTAGTGGATTTGCCTTCCAGTCCCTGACATTCTCTGCTGAAATAAAATAGACTGGCACTATCTATTCACCTCTTGCTTATGTGGCCCAAGGTGCTTTGGAGGTGCTGTGCAGGTATGTTTCTCTACACAATTTTTTAAAGTTTTATAGACTTACTCTGTCTCACAGGAAGAAGATTTACAGGAGATGGAAGAATCGGCTAAGAAAATGGAAGTTCAGTTCGGTCAGTTCTTTGATCAAGTGATTGTGAATGACAATTTACAAGAAGCATCTGCACAGCTGCTGTCTGCAGTACATCGTGCACAGGACGAACCCCAGTGGGTCCCTGCAGTATGGATATGCTCAGACACTCAGCCCTAATTCTGAGCAGGAGGCAGCTTCAGAAAGATTACAGCTTATGTTTTACTTCAAGAATAATCCTAATGTCAGGATTGCAAGAATTTATCTTTGTATGTAAGGGATTTGGAAGAGGATTACGAAAGAAGCTGCTACAGGACATATAATCATACTACATTCTGTGTAGCTCTTGAGCTTTTTATGTTAAAGTTGTATCCACTTTTGTACAAAAAAAAAAAAAAGGAAATACTGTGAGCACTCAATTACAAGAATAAAGAAAAATCTATTTTGTTGGATGTATTTGTGTAATTTGCTTATACATAGGTTTAGAAAAGTCCTTTCTTTTTATCAGGTACTGTGATACCTGTACATTCTGGAAGCCTTACTCTCACAAACAATATTCAGTCCAGAGTGTGCTCTTTTAGCTTCCTGTCTGTGAGCAGAGTGTGTTATTTATGAAGGTAGTGGTTTGCTGCTAGTCCTTTTTACCTTTTAAGGTAGGAGTGGTGTTGGCATAACATTAAGTTCTCCAGAAACCACAGTTACCTTCATAATACATGTAATATGTCTTTTGTTTTGTTTCATCAACTCAGGTGAGTACAAACTGACAGAACCTGGACTTAGCACAGAGGGGAAGTCAGAAACCCTTTCTCATACTGGTTTGCTCTATGGTAGCACACTCTGCTCATCAAAGGGTGCTTGTGGCAAGTAAGTTCCTCACTCTCTTCACCTCCCGTGACAGCTGTCATGTCCCCTGAGGAACACAGATTACTATTCTATTGGCCTACCTCACCTTGGAGGAAAATCAACAAATGCAAGTAAAGCAGGCTAGAAGGAGGTTATTTAAAGTCAAATATTACAGCTGCCACCATGCCTGCTTGTTCTAGAGCCAAGGGTTGTATTCCTTGTTTAGAGGTAAAACTGGAGAGACTGAAGTCCCAACATGTCACTGATGCGGGGTAAGTACACTGGAGGGTGAGATAAGAGCCAGATCTGTGCTGCTGGTCCCCACTTCTGCCTAGTCCGGCATTTGTTGACTCTTTCTGTTTGCCCTTTTTCCATGTGTTATTTTCTACCTTTTTTCTTTTTTTTTTTTTCTTTTTTCCCTCTTACAGTGCAGAACCTCATTTAGCAGTTTGTGACCCAGGCTACAACCTGAAGTTGGCCAGACACCTATTTCCATTTTCGAGCGTTTGGTTTTGCTCTCCCGCATCCCGAAGGACGAGAACGCCGGCAGACATGCCGTGTGGCTGGGCTATCTCCGCTGTGGGGCCGGGGCAGGCGGTGTGAGCGGGGCCGGGCCCTCCCCGCCGCTGGGGGGGCGCAGCCGCGGCGCGGGGCGGAAGGAGCGGCGGCTCCTCCCTCGCAGCCGCAGCCGGAGCCGGAGCCGGAGCCGATCCGGGCGGGCGCGGCCCATGGCGGAGCGGCGGGCGGGCCCCGGCGGGGTGAGGGCGCGGCGGGGCGGGGGCGAGGGGGCGGCGGAGAACGGGCCCGCGGGGCTGCAGCTCGGGACGCCCGGCTGCGGATCCTGGGAGGCGGGAGCTTGTCCCGCCGGGCGCTGTTGCTGAAGGGATGTGGCGAGCCCTCGGTGGCAGCAGCTGCTGCCGGGAGACCGAGAGGAAGCGCCGTCCTGCATCCCCGCTCCGCTGGGGAGCCGGAGGGAGCGTGTCGCCCGATGCAGCGTGGCACGTTTCTGCTCACCTCTGCCAGGGTGGCAAGCAAGCATTTCCTCATTGTTTTCGTGTTTTATATAAATCTCTTGAAAGATAATCTACAGAGCTTTAGATCTGCAAAGGCCGGCTCAGTGTTTTTAAACACTGAGGTCTTTTAAGCCTTTTCTGCCCCGCATCCTGGAATGGACACCAGCGGGGTTGGGTAGCTCTGTTTTCCCGCCCTGAGTTTCCAGGTGTGTCCCACCGTCTTGTGGCGTGGCTCCCGTGTGCAAACACAGGGTTTGAACGAGGCAGCGGCTGCTGGTTTGAGAGAGTCTCTTGCCTTTAGGGGCACCATGGCTACCTTAGAGCGTTCAGCAGCTCTTTGGTCGGTAACAAAATGCCTCTGGAAACCTGTCCCCAAACCCACCCTTTCTATGGAACTTGGAGTGAGTTCCTTCAGACTCTGCCAAACAGCAAACAGACCAAAGCTGGTATCTGTATGGCAGAGTGGCAGAGTTGGGGACTGTCATAGAGATGGGACAGATGAGTATTCACCACTGCCTGCTTGCCTTTTTTGCAAGGAATAAATTATAACAAATCATTTCACTTTTCAGTTGTTTTGTAGGCAATAAAGTAGGTACTACAGAATACAGACATACTACGGTACATGTAGTGAATGCTGTATGGAAGGTTTGTGGTTTTGGTTGGTTGGTTTATTTTTATGGTTTTTTTAAAATATCAAGTATCGTAAACATTTAGTATTTCCTGCCATAAGAATATTGTAAACAATAAAAGTAACGAGCTCTGACCTTTACCAGTATTTTTTTCATACAGTTGTATGGCGTGGCCAGTCCTGGGGGCTGCTTAGGGTGTGCAGTTCCTTACCTGTATAAATGGCACTTGCTGTCAGTCTTCAACATGGCCAAAATCCAAGTGAGAGATCTGAGGTCTAATCCCACAAACCCTTCCTTGCACGAGGTGCCTCCTTTACTTTCATTAAACAAAGTCAAACTTGCTTACAGGAATCTGTACCAGCAAGTGGAGTTATGAGCTTTTTAGTGTGAGTAACATTCGGTGCCACAGAACAAACTGCCCTTGTTTCAAACGGGAGTAGTGCTGGGTCCTAACCCAGGGGCAGGAAGGTTCATGTTCAGCTAATCCTGGCTGCCTGAAGTTTATTTTTAGTTCAGAATTAGCTGAGGTTCAATGTGAGCAGCGTTAGGAAGCATAGACCAGTTCACAGTGCCTCTTTCAGAGAGCAGCTTCAAATGATATGGGAAAGAAACAAGTGGTAAGTTTGTGGATTCTTAAGTCTTACCAGTCTTACAGCCCTTTTTATTTCTGGTATCAACTGAATTTTTTGAGCATGGGAAATACTTACTTGTATATACTCTTTCAGTATAATTGTGTAATACAATATCTAAAAGTTAACTGCCTTTTTCTAGATGAGAGAAAGAGACAAGCTCAGTTTCAGATTATTATCAGGAGATATTTTTAGATTTTAGTCGTGTTTGACCTGCTGGTAAATATGAAAATTAATAAAAACGAAAAATAACATTTTGTAATATTTAAATGTGTTTTCATAACTGAGCTTATTTCCTTTTGTTGACTTTACTGTCGTTCTGAATTTACACGTTCATTAATAGGAAGTATGCTGTGAGCTCACGCTGTATACTGTACAAGTGTATTGAATGCATAAATTATTGCAGCATTCCGATATTTAAACAGGATGACTGATAAGCTCTCTCATGAAGGTGGTACCTTACATGAAAAGTGAAAATTATCACAACGAAGTTGAAATGCAAGCTGTGCCTCACACACAGACGTTAGGTACACGTCCCTAATGCAGTGCCCATCAGAACTCTGGTAAAGACACATTATTCCAGCATCTTTTAGTTATTGCTTTTATGTAACATCTCCATCAGGGATGTCTAGCCATTTAGGGGCACACGAAGCTAAACATACCTCGTGTGTTCCGACCTTGCCTGGAAACAGCTGTTTTCTGAGAGGTGGTTTTATGCAGACAGAAGTTGATTTTTGTCTCTCTCTTGTCTTTCAGTGCCCGCCTCGTGCCCTCCCTCCAGTGCCAAGGTAAAATCAGTGCATTCTGTGGAACTGGTCGTGGTGCTGCACTGCAGTGATTTTAAAAGTAATGACATTAAGAGAAATAAGTTAATTAAACATATGAGTGTCATAACAGTTTTAAAAATAATTGCTTCTCTTTCTAATTTTTGTCCCAGAACACTTTACAAGGAAAGCAAAGCATTTTAAAGCTTTACAGAGGCTGAGAAATTTTACTCTATCACTTCAGTTTTAATACTGAGAGATTTAAAAAGCTTCAGACAAATATTACAGTTTTAATGTACTGTAGTTGAACTGATGTCCTTTTCAAGCTCTTCTCACTTCCCTCTTTGTTTTGTTACATGTTATTTTGTTTATTTGAATCACAAATCCTTCAGAACAGGAATTTCTGACATTAGACTAGATACTCCTGAATAGAGATGTAGGTGTCTACTAGTTTGATGTAGCATAGGTAAAAAATTGGGCTTTTTTTTCGGTGTGGAAGGGGAGTTGCTCTAACACAGTACTTTAGAATTCTTTCGAAGTACCTGAAAGCAAATGTGATGTTTATGGTTGGTGACATGTAATGTCTTTTTAGTAATGTATGGGCTCAACTGTTTTATAACTTTTGTTGGTCTGTTATATATCAGGCAGTAAGACAAGTTTTAATTAGCCAGGTGATTAAAGCTTTTAATCTGATCCCCAGCCAGCCAATCAAGAACCTGTGCCTAGTCACCAACAAAGTGTTGAGTCTTGATGATTGCTTTGTACCCTTAACCCTGTTGTAACAACTGCTCGGAAGGAGAAGCAGGCATAAGGAAGGAATCACAGAAGCAGCACTGTGAATTTCACTGTGGTGAATTGTAATTCATTCAAAATTAACTTTCTTCTCGTCTTTTTCCTTTTACGCTGCATGCCAACACCTTTTCTCCTTAAACGTGAAGTGGAAGCCAAGGTGAGTTATTAAAGAGAATTATAAATATTGGTAGTTCCTTTTGATGCTACACATTCTCTCTTTCAAGATAGAGCCTTATACTTTTCCTAAATGCAGGCTGATTGTTTAAACTGCATGGATACCTGTGCTGCCATTGCTAGAACTGTCATTTTCTTTGTTCTCTTTATTGTTTGCTGTTCTCATCAAGGTAACTGAAATGTTGCCACTGTGCTTTAAACAATAAGTTTATTTTTCAGAGCATTATTGAGAGTATTTGACTTTTTCACTTAACACAGGTACATGTGTGCATTTAGCCTCTGCCACACATGACATATTTTTTAATCCTCTTTTCCTACCATCTTCTCTACTCCTTCTCCTTGTGGGAACTGGTGAATTATCATCTTACCTGTAAAAGGTGAAGGATATCATAATTTGTAAAAAAGAATCTATTTCTTAACTTGCAATACAATGGCTGTTAAAAAAAGAAAATGGAGTTTTCTCCTTGCTGTGCACCCATACTTCTGTTTTATGTTATGCAGATGAAATTCCACTCAGTCGTCCCAAAAAAAGGAAACCCAAAGGAAAGACTCCATTAGGTAAGGTCTTACCAAGACTGAAAAGTGTTCATTCATTCCTACTATTTTTCTAT